ATCCATTATGAGGATATTACAATAGTATCCAGTGACTAAAGGAACTCCATTATGAGGATATTATAATAGTATCCAGTGACTAAACAAGCTACATTATGAGGATATTACAATAGTATCCGGTGTCTAAATGAACTACATTATGAGGATATCAGAATAGTATCCAGTGACTAAATGAATTCCATTATGAGGATATCACAATAGTATTCAGTGACTAAACAAGCTACATAATGAGGATATTACAATAGTATCCAGTGACTAAAGGAGCATCATTATGAGGATATTACAATAGTATCCGGTGTCTAAATGAACTACATTATGAGGATATCAGAATAGTATCCAGTGACTAAATGAATTCCATTATGAGGATATCACAATAGTATTCAGTGACTAAAGGAGCGTAATTATGAGGATATTATAATAGTATCCAGTGACTAAAGGAGCATCATTATGAGGGTATTACAATAGTATTCAGTGACTAAAGGAGCGTAATTATGAGGATATTATAATAGTATCCAGTGACTAAAGGAGCATCATTATGAGGGTATTACAATAGTATCCAGTGACTAAATGAACTCCATTATGATGATATGGTCTGTTTGCCAATATAATCTCGTGAAGTATCTTACTTGTTAGTTACGCGAATCAATGAAAACTTTTATTTGAGAAACAGGAAACATCTACACTAGAAGAATAAGTACATGTATTTCTATGACCAAAAAACATTCACATTGTACAGACATTTTTCTGAACACTGACCATAATATTTAAGCTTAATAATTAAGTAAATCTACTGTGTTAACATAGTGATATCACGCGACCTGTAAACCCACTCTGTTGACACTGTGATAAAAGCCGACCTGTAAACCTACTCTGTTGACACAGTGATAACAACCGACCTGTAAACCTACTCTGTTGACACTGTGATAAAACTCAACCTGTAAATCTACTCTGTTAACGTAATGATAACACCCGATCTGTAAATCTACTTTGTTAACATCCGACCTGTAAACCTACTTTGTTGACATAGTGATAACACCTAAGGTGTAAAAATAATGTGTTAACACAGTGATAACACCTAAGCTGTAAACATGATTTGCTAACACAGTGATAACACTTAAGTTGTAAACATGATTTGCTAACACAGTGATAACACTTAAGCTGTAAACATAATTTGCTAACACAGTGATAACACCCGACCTCTAAGATCAAACATTTATGTAATTAAAGGAATATATATGGGAAAAGTGTGCAGTCTTTGTGCGATGTCAAATTTCAACATAACACACGCTTCCTTATTGACTTCCTTATAATCTTGCTAGAAACCACGGAAATTATCTTGAAAACCACGTGTCTAGTGAGACCACAAAACACCTCAGATTAATTTTCAGTCAACATGCCATGTAGAACTTTAGAAACTGTATTTATTGCGAGTAAAATATCCAGTTCATGGTTTTTTTTCGTCACGTAATGACGCACATTTTTTTGTTTAGTTCTCCATTGATAGTCTCCATACAAACACGATATTCTCCACTGATAGTCCCCATACAAACACAACATTCTCCACTGATAATCCCCATATAAACACAACATTATCCATTGATAATCCCCATATAAACACAACATTCTCCATCGATAGTCTCCATACAAACACAACATTTAAGTTGCATTGAAATCCACAACTTGTTGTCCCGGATGTGCCATCATCATGGAGTGTGGATGACCTGGTAGTAGCATGACCTGGTGTGGATAACCTGGAAGCAGCATGGACTGAGCATGAACAGAGGATCCCACTGTGTGACCTGAGGAGGGTTCTGCACAGGACAGATTCTGCATACCTAGAAAACAAAAAGCAGTGGATAAAAAAGATGTAAATACTATAAAAACATGGGGTGGATTAAACATATGTAAATACTATAAAAACATGGGGTGGATTAAACATACTTTCCATGAAATTCCAAACAATTACAAGATTTTTATTGAAACATCAACATTAACTCTTCGTTTCAATTCCATTTAGTTTGGGAAATTCTCTTGACTCTCGTCCACGATCCTCAGGTGATAATACATTTTTGGGCCCACGATGGTTCATCGATAAGCTTATTGGCCTATAACACTAGAAGTCAGGTTTTCATACCTGCGGTGGACACTGTGCAGATATTTCCATAAACGCTGAACAATCAAACAAGCTACATTTTGTAAAAATTAACTTGTAACAAAAAAAAAAAAAAAAAAACATTTTAGAACTTATAGGCTAGCTAAAGAATAGCTGGAGGGAAGAGCAGATACCTGCAGAATGATGGAGTCTATTGATATCCATCTACAGATAGAGCCTATTGATACTCATCTACAGATAGAGCCTATTAATACCACCTACAGGTAGGCCTATTGATACCCATCTACAAATGGAGCCTATTGATCCCATCTACAGATAGAGCCTCTTGATACCCATCTAAAAATAGAGCCTATTGATACCCATCTACAAAAATGATGCCTATTGATACACATCTACAAATAGAGCCTAATGATGCCCATCTACAGATAGAGCTTATTGATACCAATCTACAGATAGAGCCTCTGGATACTCATCTACACAGCGAACCTATTGATACCAATCTATAAGCAGAAATGAGATGCTCTCGAGTGTGAAACCTACAAAGAAACAAAACCGGATAAAAGAATAGTGGAAGTCGTAGATACCTTGAAATAAACAATACATTATTCCACGTAATTTGTAGATTTGGAGAAAGTGTATGATAAGGTGCCACGAAAATTAGCATACTGGTGCCTCCGTAAGAATAAAGTTCCCGAAAAGCTAATCAGACTAGCGAGAGCCACTTGTGATGGAGTGAAACAACCATAATGATGGTGTATGGAGAAGTTTGATGTAAATGTTCGGCTGCAACAAAGATCATCCATTAGTTCCTTGCTATTCGTCATAGTCATTGATGTATCCAGTAAGGAGTGCCATAAGGGACTAATGTTGGGACTATAACTCACCAAAGACCTTGTCCAGACACCTGAAAGAGTGCCGTAAGGGACCCATTTTGGGACTATTAATCACTGAAGACCTTGACCAGAAACCTGACAGAGTGTCGTAAGGGACCCATTTTGATACTATAACTCACCAACGACCTCGTCCAGACACCTGAAAGCATGCCGTAAGAGACCCATGTTGGGACTATAACTCACCAACGACCTTGTCGAGACACCTGAAAGAGTGTCATAAAGGACCCATTTTGGGACTATTAATCACCAAAGACCTTGTCCAGACGCCTGAAAGAGTGCCATAAGGGATCCATGTTGGGACTATAACTCACCAACAATCTTGTCCAGACACCTTAAAGAGTGCCATAAGGGACCCATGTTAGGACTATTAATCACCAAAGACCTTGTCCAGATACCTGAAAGAGTGTCATAAGGGACCCATTTTGGGACTATAACTCACCAATGACCTTGTCCAGACACCTGAAAGAGTGCCATAAGGGACTCATGTTGCAACTATAACTCACCAATGACCTTGTCCAGACACCTGAAAGAGTGCCATAAGGGATCCATGTTTGGAATATTAATCACCACAGGCCTTGTCCAGACACCTGAAAGAGTGTAGTAAGGGACCCATGTTGGGACTATAACTCACCAACGACCTTGTCCAGACACCTGAAAGCGTGCCATAAGGGACCCATGGTGGGACTATTAATCACCGAAGACCTTCTCCACACACCTAAAAGAGTGCCATAAGGGACCCATGTTAGGACTATTAATCACTAAAGACCTTGTCCAGACACCTGAATGAGTGCTGTAAGGGACCCATGTTCGGACTATTAATCACCAAAGTCCTTGTCCAGACACCTGAATAAGTGCTGTAAGGGACCCATGTTGGGATTATTAATCACTAAAGTACTTATCCAGACACCTGAAAGAGTGCCATAAGGGACCCATGTTGGGACAATTAATCACCAAAGACTTTGTCCAGACACCTGAAAGAGTGTCGTAAGGGACCCATGTTGGGACTATTAATTACTGAAGACCATGTCCAGACACCTGAAAGAGTGCCATAAGGGACTCATGTTGGGATTATAACTCACCAATGACCTTGTCCAGATACTTGAAAGAGTGCCATAAGGGATCCATGTTTGGAATATTAATCATCAAAGATTTTGTCCAGACACATGAAAGAGTGCCGTAAGGGACCCATGTTGGGACTATTAATCACTGAAGTCCTTGTCCAGACACCTGAAAGAGTGCTGTAAGGGACCCATGTTGGGATTATTAATCACTAAAGTCCTTATCCAGACACCTGAAAGAGTGCTGTAAGGGACCCATGTTGGGACTATAACTCACCAACGACCTTGTTCAGACACCTGAAAGAGTGCCATAAGGGACCCATGTTGGGACAATTAATCACCAAAGACCTTGTCCAGACACCTGAAAGAGTACCGTATGGGACCCATGTTGGGACTATTAATCACCGAAGACCATGTCCAGACACCTGAAAGAGTGCCATAAGGAACTCATGTTGGGATTATAACTCACGAATGACCTTGTCCAGACACCTGAAAGAGTGCCGTAAGGAACCCATGTTGGGACTATTCATCACCAAAGACTTTGTCCAGACACCTGAAACAAAGATGGAGATACAGACACAAGATAAAATGTGGTAGAGGAGTTTAGAAATATGAAGCTTGAAAACGAATGTGAAAAATACGGAAGTCATAGTGAGTTGAAGAAGTAGGAAGAAGAAGGTTAACGGAAGTCATGGTGAGTGGAAGAGGTAAGAAAAAGAAGGTTAATGGAAGTCATGGTGAGTGGAAGAGGTAGGAAGAAGAAGAAAGTTAACTGGAAGTCATGGTGAGTGGAAGAGGTAGGAAGAAGATGGATTAACTGAAGTCATGGTGAGTGGAAGAGGTTGGAAGAAGGTGGTTAACGGAAGTCATGGTGAGTGAAAGAGGTAGGAAGAAGATGGTTAACGGAAGTCATGGTAAGTGGAAGAGGTAGGAAGAAGATGGTTAACGGAAGTCATGGTGAGTGGAAGAGATAGGAAGAAGATGGTGAACTGAAGTCATCGTGAGTGGAAGAGGTAGGAAGAAGATGGTTAACAGAAGTCATGGTGAGTGTGGAAGAGGTAAGAAGAAGATGGTTAAGATCACAGATGTAAAAGGGAAGCCGCTGGAACAGGTAGAAGACTTCAGACACTTGAGAAATATAATCTAAGGTGAAGGAATACGTGAGAAAGCAGTGAGAGATAGAATCCATGTGAGTTGGAGAAAAAGGAAGGAAGTAGCCACAGTCATCTGAAAACCAAAGTGTATAAGACCGTTATTAGACCTGTGCTCTTCTACGGAGCCAAGACATGGACCCTGAAGAAGATAGAAGGCTTGTTGATCAGAACAGAAATAAGAATGCTGAGATGGCTGTTAGTAGTGTCGCTTGAAGAGAACGATTAAAGAAATAGTATGAGTCTGTGGAACAGAGGAAAAAGCAAGAGAAGACAAAGAAGTCCAGTAAAGAGTTGGATAGATGGAATTAAAGAAGACATGAACGAAAAAGGGACTGATGAAGACCTGGAATGAATAAAGATGAATGGGGAGGGTAACATGTGTGTGAAGGACCGTTACCCCTGCTAAATGGAAAAGACGAAGAAGAGACGTCAAAATAAATCTCCAAGATTTTTTGAACAAAATTACAATAAATTGTGAGAAGACAAGATATATTTCATGAAAATATACACAAATTAAGAGATTCACAGAGATATTACCTGAAGACCTCATGTGCATCTGCTGGCTTCCATTCATCACATACCCTATTTCAGCACCATCTGACTTATACGTTGAACTAGGACTATTTATATCTCCACCTAAAAGAATAATTATTGATATAGAGGTGTACTAATATTGAATAATTCCAGAAAGAAAGGAAAAATTCAAAGTTGAGGATTTTATGATTAGCTTTTATTTTTCTGTCAACAAAGATTACAAATCATTATTAACTTATGTACCAGAAAATTTTATTAATATTATTGTCTTGGTGGTCAAGATCTTCAACAAAAAATAACAGTCTTGAAACAAGACTTCATTACAGTAGGTCTGAAAGAACATTGTGTCTTACTCTTCTTAAATTTAAATTAGTTACACATTGTAAGCTTACTGCAAACCTCAGAGAACAAAGGGTGCCTTTTTTCTGTAAAGGAAGCGGGGGTGGTGTGATCTAGTGGTAACTTTGGACTACGAATCCGTGGGAGAGTGGTGCTCCCTTTTTGGACCTTTCACATAATCCTCGGTACCCACTGAGAGCTATCATCTTCTGGTTTGATATGGATATCAGTTAACCAAGTTTAAACTAAGTATTTGCACTCCTAACCATGATAACGGAAATTTAAACAAAGTACTTAGGCTACTAACCTCGATAAAAGAAGTTTAAGCTAAGTACTTAGGCTATTAGCTATGATAAAAAAAGTTTTAATTAAGTACATAGGCTACTAACTATGATAAAAGAAGTTTAAGCTAAGTACTTAGGCTACTAACCTCGATAAAAGAAGTTTAAGCTAAGTACTTAGGCTATTAACTGTGATAAAAAAGTTTTAATTAAGTACTTAGGCTACTAACCTCGATAAAAGAAGTTTAAGCTAAGTACTTAGGCTATTAACTATGATAACGGAAGTTTAAACAAAGTACTTAGGCTACTAACTATTGTTATGTATCTGCTCGTTTGATAATTTCCTTAATTTCCGGTATAAATTATTTCCGAAGATTATCAGTGATACAAGTCCTTTATTAATTAAAACTAGTTTATTCTTTCTCGATACAACTTTGTAATACACAGAATTTCCATAGTCACTTT